ATTAAACAAAACATCTTTTTTTTATCATTCTTTTTTTGTTTCTATTCATTAAAAAATTAACTTTTTCTAAATCAAACTGACAAAAAACCCTACTCTAAGGCTAATAAATGTTTTTCACGATCTGGGACATTATTTAATACAATACAATATTTATTACAAAAATAACAGGATTTTTCTATCTCTGTAAATCACACTGCTATGCAGTTAACTTATTAAACTGTTAAACTATCATTGTTTTTAATCATTTATGTGCATAACTCTATGGCAGTTAATGCCATGCACTGTGTAATGTTTTATATAGACAGTTAGGTTTTCCAATTAAAACAGCAACAGCATCATTGTTTTATAAAGTAGACTATAGGTTAATAGGGTATGTATTAAGGGCTTCATTTTCGCTAGAGGAAACGGCTGGTGTGATGACGTAACACAGCGAAAATTTTTACATTTTTGTAAACTGTATTTATGAAAAAGGACTGCACTGATGCAGATATATCAATTTATCGAAAAACACACACTTTGGCTTAATCCTCGCTCTGTGATGCCGCAGTCTGTGATGCATCAGTTGAAGACTGCGCTGAAAGACGGGGCGGAGCCGAAGTCTGCCGCCGTTTTCATATGAAATTTAAAGGGGACGTGGCCGATCACCAATTTGTGTAGTTTATGGAGAATTTTTAGGGGGGGCTGAGTACAAATGTTAGGGGGGCTAAAGCCCCCCTAAAAATGGCCTAGCGACGCCCATGACGGTGCTCCTAAAGGGACAAGGATGAGAATATAGTTTTAAACAGTTTTCGCGAATTACGAGTGAATAAATCTTAAACTAAAATTTCCCAATATTTTCCCCTAGGAACTCTGAACTTAGGGCTCCGTACTCCCCAGCCAATCGAGGTTTTTCTGTTTTTTCATACCAAGTACCATAAGCTGTCAGTAGGGGGCTCCCGATCATCGTCGGCGACAGGTGGATTTCCTCGGAGTGGTTTAATTCCATCCATCAGAATTAATATTTATAATATAACCCGAATTAACACAGGTTAATTTCTACTAGTTTATTCCTGGACATTTTACATACATAATACCGTTGCTGCTTGTTCATGATACCTTTGCGAAAATCTTTTTTCACATGAAACCTGGATCCCGTGTTTTCTGTCGTAATTATTTTATTGTACAGTTGATTTAGTAACAGATTTATAGTCATATTGTGAGTGGTCTGCCGTAAGAATGAGTGCTGTACTCTTATGCTAATGTAGGGTGCCTTTTATATTGTCTGGATTACCGGTAAAACCCGTCTAATAATATCCATCGATTTCTTTTAACTGCTCAGCAAAGACAGAAGAGACTCAGTCGCCCACCCACCAAAGGGAAGGTAATCAAAGCAATATACCGGTTTGTCTGAATTGTAAATGGGGATTATTTTCAGCACGCAAATCTCACACAAACACTACCCTCCCGTACAGAAACACGCAGCTGTGTCCCATTCTAGTTAAAACGTTAAACGTTAGTAAAACAAAGACAGCTGTGAATAATGTAAACACAACAACGTGAAATTAAGTCAATTTCACGGACGGCGATCTCGCCATTTGGCTGAATCGGCACCATTTGTGCCGTTAGTACTATCATTCCCAGCTTGTATCCCAGTTGCAATAAGCGATGCCAGACAGTGTGTTGTGCAGTTCCCTGGTCTATGGGACCCCCCAATCCTATCGTGAAACCTCCACGGCGGACACCAGAAGATGCGTGGGTGGTTTTCCTCCGCCCCCACTGGAAAGACAGCACACGGAGACGTTCATCTGGATGCTTTTAATCGAGAATGTGCAACACCTGTAAAAAATACATTAGTTAGAAAATAATTCCCCCCATGCTGTCACATGAGTGCTTCATTTGCCATGGACCAGTTGAAGTCCACAATTACTGTGGTCTGCTTGACCAAGAATACAGGACCAGCAGTGGTGTTCACTGGTCTTACTGGAGCCCTACCACACCCAAGACCTCAGCTGACAGATAGGAGGAGAGGTGCAGGGCTGGTGTTTGGGTTTCCCACTGGGGGCGTGTAAGTGCACAGGGCCTGCAGCCAAATCTGCTCTGAGGGTGGGGGCAACATTCAGTCCACAGTGTTTGGGGCCATGTGGCATATGGGGTCATGGGGGAACCCCAAAAGTCCAGGCCCGATTGTTAACCCCATTCCAGCCCTGACAAGATGCAGAGAGTTTCTATCAACCAGCCGTAACGCTACTCAGTAGCTCATAGGTATAAAATATCAAATTACTGGTCATTTTCACTCCACCGGTAACTAACAATCTGCAGGAGGTGTGCATGTAGGCCTCTCATTGTATTAAGCAGTGCTTGAAGTGGGCCGGAACGCAGCGGAACGCAGTTCCGGAACTTCTGTATTTCCGTCTTTTCGGTTCCGCCACTATTTTCTGCGTTCCGGTACTTACTGAAACTGATCCGACGCAGCGACAGTGGCCCGAGAAAATTAGAGTTCCTGCACTTATTTTTTCCCACTTCAAGCACTGGTATTAAGGGTATATGAAAAAACATCTATGATTTGAAACATCCAATCCTGTATGCCGGTAAAACTGAAAATTGTCTCTGGGGAATAAAGTGGATGGAAATAAAAGCTCTTTTGGTTTTAGTCTCGACTGAATGGAGCCCCTGTGGTCCTCAGTAATGCCAGAATCATCCATGATAGTTTCCACAAAGCCAAGTTTACACAGATGTTTGTTTTTTGTATTTATTAATTGAATACAGTTAAATAATAATAAATGAGTATATTATATAATGTAAAAACTGAATGCAACTTGCCACATAGTGCTATACTACATAGAAAATATATATAACAATACATAGGAAAATATATATTAAGAAAATATCAGCAATAGAGAAATATATTTTGCATTATGCAGAATACAGCCATCTTCCACAACCACTTATGCAGTACAGGGTTGTGATTAGTAACAATACGAACACATCAATAGACAACAATGTTTGTACAATTAATTATCTAAATGACACAAGTGGATATATTCTGTATGAGTATCAGTAGGACTGCGTGGTTCCTGTATCTGGGGGCAGGGGGAGGGTGTCCAGCTTCAGTGTCCAATCAGATGCCAGCTGGGGGGGTGGTCACCTCCCTCCATATCAGGGCATGTACTTCCTGTGTTGGTTGAGAGATTCAGAGCCATTAGGGTCACATGACCTGGGAAGGTTAGGTCTCACACCGCATCAGTGGTGAAACCTGAAAGTCATGCATCCTGATACATGTGCTGCTGTAGCATAAACAGGAAGCTCTGCTCTCGGACTCATGCAAAGGACTTCAGTGGGTTCCTTCTTGTACTTAAACCAGCTTTAGTGTAAGTCATCCCAGATGATATCAACACCTGCTGATCTAGATTATGTAACGCTATTTTAAATGAGTTGGTTTTATATTCAAAACATGCCTGCAACTTTGGCTAAAAAAATGAAGCGAGCTGATTATTGAGCAATCTACATAATCAATACCCAGTATTCAAATACGAGCGGTGCTTTGTGTTTCTGAGCTCAGGCAAATTCCTAAAGAGTTACAATCTCTGAGTGAAGTAGGTTAGTGCTGCTGTGTATCGTGAAAACCCAGTGTAGATGAAATTATTGCATGAACTTACGACTGCAAATTTTTTATCATTTGGCGGATTTTCTGGGCTTCAGGATTCAGGCAGTACTTGTTCCCATTCTTCAGGTTGACACTG